TAGCCCCTTCTGCAAGAGTCCAGGCTGGGAGAGCATCCCTCGTTGTGGGATGGGCACCCAAAGTCCATTTGTATGTCAGGGATAAATACTGATCTACTACCCAGGGCCCCATAGATTGCCTAGGCCTTTTTACTGACACACACATTCAGGAGGTCTAGATCAGTCCCATGCTGGCCTCCCAGCCATCAGTCTGGGGTTCAACAGCTATCCCTTATTCAGGTCAGCTGTTTCTGGGGGTTAAACCAGTCCAGTCTGGACCCCTTTGCTCATCACTCCTCCATATCTGTCACTGGATTCCAGGAATTCAGTTCATTGTTTAGCTGTGGGCATCTGCCGTTGCTTCCATCAGTCACTGGATGAAAGTTCTATTTCCCAGACTCTCTGGCAGTGGGATTGTAGGCTGGCACTCACCTGATCCGTGTATAAAATCCATATATGAGTGAGTACATACCATGTTTGGCAATTTAAGATAAACTTGGTCCAATTGCATAGCTCAATAACAAGGTGAAATTTATCACACAAAATCATTTCGAAAATTCTCCAGGATGCTCCATTTCCTCTGTCTTCCTAAGTGGCAAGGCATTGATGATCTTATTTAAAATTCAGTATGATATACAAATGCAGAGTAGACTGCACTGGATTGAGAATTAAGCAGGAAAGTAGTTAAAAACAACTTCAGGCAAGCTCAGAGGAATGAATGTTTTGAAGACAAGAGAGATTCACATAAAAGCTACTGTGGGGACAGAATCGGGACAATTTGATAACTAAGTGCCTATAAGTGCTGATGAGCTGTAGGGGAGGGAAAGTGAAAGATGTTTTAAATCACTTAAAACTGGAAAAGTAGGCAGATACTGGTGATATAAGCAGGTGTGGCAAGTAAGGTTTTGCAGGATAAAGTAAAAATATTAATTTTTAATATTACAATGGAAATACTCAGCAAAGACATGGAGATATCGGACCAGAGACTATTAACGTAAGATGCTTTAAAGGCAGTGATTATATTAATTAGTATCCATGGATTAAACAAGGGAAACCTTTCTAGAAGCTTAAACAAATAGATGAGTCAAAGAGCCGTGCCCAAAACAGGCAGAAAGTACAGCTTCAGAAATGTATACTACACACAAAGTGATGTCATTAGTTAGTGTTCTCACTCAGCTTCTGACACTGAAACTTCCTGCTTAACCATTTCTCTTTTCTTATTAAAGGAACACAAAAATTATGCCCATTAAATGTAAAGAGAATGTAGCAACTGAGGCTGTTTAGTCTTATATCATCTGTTACTTGTCGCTTTGTTGCCTGTTCCCTGTTGTATTTGATTTCTCCCCATCACTCTCTCACTCGCAGTCTGAGTAGATGTGTATGGATGTGTTCCAGTTTGTATACACGTTCATAAATATATATGTGTGTGTGTTCTAATTTTGCACATTTTCATATGTGTTCAGATGTGTGCATACTTGTGTGTGTGTGTGTGTGTGTGTATGTGTGTGTGTGTGTGTGTTTGTTTGTTCGCACATCGGACAGAAGATAGATTCATTCAGCTTTCCTCAGACATGTCTACATTTTTGGAGCACTTCCGTCAGATATCTTCATTGAATGTCCACTTTTCTTTTTTCCTTTTCTAGTTTAAGTATTAGAATACTAAACTTCCAGGAACAACACAGTACACAGAAAAAAACTAAAGCCATGTAGTTGAATGTGGCACAGCTTATGAGAGGACAATGCATGGATGGAATCTACTGCGTGATAAAAATAATGCTGTGATCACCATTTCGGTCATCACGCTCTTTCTCCTCCCTCCCCCACTCTTCCCTCCATGATTCCAATTTACCACGAGATCTTGACCCTTTCTCCTTTTCAGGGGGTTCCATGTATGTCTCTCTTAGGGTACTCCTTATTTCCTAACGTCTCTAGGATTATGAATTGTAGGCTGGTTATCCTTTGTTCTATGTCTAATATGCACTTATGAGTGAGTACATACCATGTTTTTCTTTCTGTGCCTGGGTTGCATCACTCAGGATGTTCTAGTTCCATTCACTTGACTGTGAAATTCAAAATGTCATTGTTTTTTTTATTCATGAGCAGTACCCCATTGTGTAAATGTACCACATTTTCTTTAACAATTCTTCAGTTGAGGAGTACCTAGGTTGCTTCCAGGCTCTGGCTAAAAAGATAATGCTTCAGCCGGGCAGTGGTGGCGCACGCCTTTAATCCCAGCACTCGGGAGGCAGAGGCAGGCAGATCTCTGTGAGTTCGAGGCTGGGCTGGACCGATAGCCTCCAAAACAATACAGAGAAACCCTGTCTCGAAAAGCCAAAAAAAAAAAAAAAAAAAGATAATGCTTCTATGAACATAATTGAACAAATGTCCCTGTGGTATGAATATGCATCCTTTGGGTATATGTCTAAGAGTGGAATTGTTGGGTTTTGAGGTAGACTGATTCCTATTTTCCTGAGAAACCGCCAAAACTGGCTGTACAAGTTTACATTCCCAACAGCAGTGAAGGAGAGTTCCCCTTTCTGCACATCCTCTCCAGCATAAACTGTCATTGGTGTTTTGATTTTAGCTGATTTTAGCTGTTAATAAGAAGTATACCTATAAAAAATGAATTCCAAATGCTGGCATTGTGCAGAAACTTTTTAAATGGTTTATGTCTAATGAGTATAATGTTGAACTGTTGCAATCAGTCGCTATTAGAAATCCACTGAGCCTCTGAGTGTCAAGCTCCTCCTCTAGTGTCTGATGCTACATATTCTTCAATATTTTGAAACAGATCTGTGCTTCCCGAGTGCAGTTATTAATATCTTGTAGGAGGCAAGTGAGACCTCTCTAGTTGGCCTTTTTGAAGATACCAACCTGTGTGCTATCCCTTCCAAATGTGCAACATTGGCATGTCACTTACACAGAGAAGATGCTTAAGAATCCACTATGAGGGGAAACATTTAATTCTCATGTTTTTCTTCTTCTTCCTCTTATCAGTAGTTCTGACTTAGTTATTTTTCCAAGGCAGATAAAAGTACCTACGTTTATGATAGTATGTGGAAAAATAGGGGACATAAATTGGCAGTTTTTGCATCTTCATTTGCATGTGAAATTTTAATATAATACGTGAGAAGTGTTAATGCAAGCAAAATCTGCATAGTTTTAAAACAATAATTAGAGGTAAATTACTATTACTCTCAGGTATAATTGATTCCAAAAAGTGGGGTTTTTTTGCCATTTATAATATCTAGTTCATCCAAATTGCAGAAAGGATCTACACAGGTTTATAACGTAGAGAAGGGAGATTTAACAAAGTTGTTAGTGCAGAACAATAAAGAAGGACGAAGATGAATTATTAAACTAAGCATAGATATCTGCTTGCATTACAAAACTCCAGCTAGTACAGAGTATGATTCAGCTTTGTTTCTCAGACACGAGTTTACTTTCTTACATTTAAGCTGGCTTTTGTCCTATAGCTTCAGTCACTTTTGAGAATTATTAAGTCAGCAAAGAGATGACTAGTACAACAGGATTTTTGTTAATGTAATGTAACAATGATTGTACCTGATCACTCCATTTACTATTGGAGTGCCTTCAAATTTATTTTCCTGAATTTTCTGACAAACATGCAATATGTAATTTAAAATGCCTTCTCTCTTGACTACACTATACTGTTTGCATCCTTGCATCCCTAAATTTAGCTACCCTAAACTGTAGCCTATGGACTATACTGTTTACTTTCTATCCATTCTCAAGAACCATTTCATGTTTCACACCATTCATGAACGCCTCAAATCACAACTAACACTATCTGTACTTAGTGCTACATTCCACAATACTTTACGGTAAATTGTTATAGTTTCTTGTTCTTAAAACCACACTTTGCAACCTCTTATTATATAAATGCATTATGTTTTTAAATTTATAAGTATAAACTCATTATCAAGCATTTCCTTCACTGAATCATGAATGTGTTTGTTTTTAATACTCACCATCCAGTCAGAAAATCATGTGACTATGCCAGCAGTCACATTTACTGGGACAAGTAAGGAGGCTAAGGGTTTAGGAGATAAACTGTATTGGTTTGCCTCTCATCCATAGAGTTCTATAAAGAAACCCATCTTCAGAAAAATAATATAAATAATATTGATCTTAGACATAGGAAGCACCTATTATGGTATTAAATTTGATTGCTAAACTAGAGATCTAGTACCTGAACCCAGAGTTTAAACAAACTAGCTTTAATATTTATGAAAAATCAAGGGTTTTCATTTGTGTGTGTGTGTGTGTGTGTGTGTGTGTGTGTGTGTGTGTGTGTACTTGATTTTGAATGAAAGGCCTGTGCCTGCAAGGGAAGCACTCTGGTACTAAGCTGTATTCCAATTGATATAGCATTTTAGATATTATTGATTAATCTGGGAATTATTAAAGTGAAATGAAAAATTTTACATTCATCACACACTATCATACATATATTTAGATCTTTCAAATTCATAATGATTGAAAACAGTAAGTCAAATTTTGTTGTCAAGGAGACATTTTTGGCTTTGACTAAATATATTCCACCTATGACATCATATTTCATCTATTTCTTATACACAAACTAAATGTACCTATAAAATGAAAGGAAACTAAGAAATAGGATCTCAGAGTTAAAGCTGCCTGATTTTTAGAATACTTGATTAATCATAATTCTATGAAGACATGATATTTATCAGAATTCTTTTAATTTTTTGGTATATTTCATCTCATTCTCAATTTTATGAAGGAAACTAAAATTCATCTAATCAAATGTTAGTGAACCAAAGCACTTTAATTCATAATGTACCTAAAGTTACAGAACAGCAGCCATGCATCAGACACTAAATCTTTAAATAATGGTCTCCTGTTTGCAGACATTTAAAAAAATACATGGAGCAAAGAATACTATCACCAGTGGAAGTGATTCCATCATTACAGAGACAACCGAAGACTGGGCAGCAATAGAAACAATACATCATGCAGAAACGAGTAAAGCTCACCTTTGACTTTACTTTTCGAAGCAGCCGCTGGTACCAAGGAAAGGTTGCACAAGAAGAAGAAAGAGACATGTTAGATATGAGACAGACCTCAGGTAAGGAAGCACAGATGTTCTTATCATTATTTAAACTTGTATAAGACTATATAATTTGGAAAAGACTCTTGATTGTTATATTTTGTTAGTATAGGATTAATATTAGTGAATAATGTGAACAATAGTAAGAAAGAAAAAAAGGAAGAGGAGTGGGAATTCCAAGCAAGTCACCAGATTGTTTTAAAGGAACAAACACCTTTTTTCTCTGTATCTTTTTTGATTCTATATTTTAATTAATAATCACTTCAATAATGTCCATAAATGACTTAAGTATATTTAATACTACTTAAAAACAAGCTCACCACCCATGAAGGGAAATTCACAAGTCTGCGTCATTTGAATACTACAAGGGTCATATACTGAAAACATTCTAGAAACTTTTGGTTGTTTGCCCATGCATTGAATATGCAGAAATTACAACTTGTACAACTTTAATTACCTAATTAAGTAACCATGCTGCAAGAACACAGATTACATATTACAGTACTACTTTATCCTTGGTGTGTGTGACTTCAGACAAAGACCATTACAGCAAACAACAACTAGCCAATATGTTGAGAAAAACTTATCAGAGTGTGTTCAACCCTAGTTGTTAACGCTCCAGCACAATCACATTAAGTTTAGGGAATATTTCGGAAGAGATGACAGAAAGATTGTAAGAGTAAGGACATGAGGGAGCCTCCATAAAGAACAGGGACCTTCATAGATGATAAATTCAGAAATAGGGTTACCTAAACAAGATCTGTGCAAGTATAAGGCAAATAGATATTTTAGGTTGTCTGTCTTAGTTTAGATTTTATTACTTTGAAGGGACATCATGATCACAGCAACTCTTGTAAAGGAAAATATTTATTTGGGGCTGACTTACAGTTCAGAGGTTTAGTCTGTTATTGTCTGTTATTATGGATATTTATAGGGGAGAGATTCCTTAGTCTTTAAGGAACTAGCCCATACTCTAATTGGGAAATACAGTCTTCAATGCAGGGGACAGACCCTTACTGAATATTAAGTTTAAAATTTACTACAAAGAAGATATGTAGGGCAAATCATGATTCATGCTTCAGTTGAAATGCTATTTAGAGCCAAGAAAAATTTCAAGGAAGTTTAGAAAAGTCTAAATTTATTTCCATGAAATTTATTGTGCACCCACTATCTTACTGAATATTTTCAAAAACACACAGATACACAAAAATTAAGTTAAATTTTGAAAGTTTGAAAATCTTTGCTCAAAAACTAAGAGTTTTGCCTAAAACACAAACTGGTTTTTTTTTGGGGCCCCAGCCCCACGGGGTCTCTGTGAGTTGCTGGTCAGCCTACAAGTGCAGCTTGTTTTCCAATCCAAGTGCTTCCTGTTTTCCAGTCCAAGTGCTTCCTGTTTTCTAGTCCTGACTTACTGGCCTGGCCTTGACCCTCTGATATCAACATCTAGCAGGAGGAAAACATGCTCTCTTCCACCTGGGGTTTTTCCACTGTGCTGTAAACCTGTATATATGGCTCCTCCCGCGCTACAAGAGAAAGACCTCTTAGCACTTGCAATAAACACACACACACACACACACACACACACACACACACACACTCCTGTCAATAAAGGCAGCACATACATTCTCTTAGTACAACAGCTGGATGTCTTGTCTTGTTTTTTCTGATACCTTGGACTTGCTTGTGGTATGGGCTTCACAATTGGAGGTCCCACTGAGATCCAGAAAGACTTGGAAAGACAGGGAAAGATCGGCCAGAAAGAAGACTCGGGAGAGGAGAGACTCCAGAAAGAAAAGATTTGAAAACAGGTACCTCAAACTTCTAACAGTAAAATTGAATGGTCAAATCTCCAGGCTTTTGCCTGAGAAATCACCTTCTAAGGAAATGTATTGAATTACTCTCCTGCCTTCAACCAGTCCACTGAGGTCAGGAAAGTAAGGGGAAAACTGAGAGATCACCCTCAGTTGAAGGGTGTATTGAATTAATTTCCTGCCTTTCACCTGATCCACTGAGGTCAGGGGGAACTGAGAGATCACCCTCAAAGGCTGGCAAGTAAAGCTATGAGGGTGTACTGGAAAGGGGTACCAAGTTAGGGGTACCAGGTTAAATCTCCAGACCTTCACCTGACACCAAGGTTGGGAAAGAAAGGGGAACCTAAGAGATTGCCCTCAGTTGGAGGGTGGATTGAGTAAATCTTAAGGCTTTTGCCTGAGGGATCATCCTCGATTGGAGGATGAATTGAAAGTGGGTAACAGTTAGTAAACGAGGTGCTGGTATTAAGTGAAAAAAAAGGAAAAGATAAAAGTATATGGAATGGAAAATACATGGAGAGTCTGTATATAGTGTGCTGTTGTGTTGTGTTTGAATTGTTTAATTGCTAAGAAAGGAAATTAACAGCTAAAAGACATTTGATTATTAATGCTGCTGAAACAATCCAACTTACATATTTTGAAATGCTTTGACTTCTAAATTTAAATACAAGGAAAGGTTACTTGGGAAAAGAATTTCTGCTTTTGTTTCCACAGAAAATAAAAAGCTGTAGGTTCCTTCCAGACTAGTATGGTTTGATGAAGCATGACCATCTGAAGCCGTGGCCCAGGTGATCCAACATCTAAAACACCTGAGATGATGCAGCCTTGCAGACCACAAAAACAAGGACTTCAACAGGTTTCTGTTTTGTTTTGTTTTGTTTTGTTTTGTTTTGTTTTGTTTTTGTCATGCTGTGGTATTTTAGCATCCCTAACAGCAGGGCGTAGTTTGGAAAGAACGACGCCCACATCCCCAAATATTGTTTATAAATGTTTCTTTGCATTCATACAGGGTTGGTTAAGGTCAATTTTGTGAGTCATCTCTAAAAACTTTTTACAAGGAGTGGGTACGGCTATAGCCCCTGAGTGTAGCTCAGAACTTCTCAAATGGAGGGATGATGAAGGGCACACAGGACTTTTTCAACCTTTTGTTTTAATTCAAGGATTGGCTGGAACTGTTCTGTCACAGGAGATTCCAAGTAAGAAAATTTCATTTCAACAAACTAATCATGACCTAGGGAAAAAGGATTACTGAAAGATGTATGTATGTTCTGAATGTATGGTGTGGCCACACTGGTATGTATGAAATGTGATTGTGAATGCGTGAGTGTAAACTGCTTAAATTGCCTTGGATATGATTAAAATGATATTTAACTTGCTTCAGATATAGTAAAGAAGTTACCTAAATTGCTTTGGATATAGCCAAAAAGAGCATCCAGCCAGTCAATGTCTTAGCAGGAAAGGTTGACGATTTGAGTCCTAAGAGCCAGTCAGTAGAAAAATAACTGAATCCTACAACATGGCCTGAGAGCCAAAGAAATCTGTATGGAAGATTCTCTAGAGTAGCGAACAGTTCAAACAAGATTTCAAAAAATAAAAAAGGGGGAGTAATGTCCCCAGTCCCCACATGATTCATTTTAATTTTTTTTTTTTTTTTTTTTTTTTGGTTTTTCGAGACAGGGTTTCTCTGTGGCTTTGGAGGCTATCCTGGAACTCACTTGGTAGTCCAGGCTGGTCTCGAATTTACAGAGATCCGCCTGCCTCTGCCTCCCGAGTGCTGGGATTAAAGGTGTGCGCCACCAATGGCCCAGCTCATTTTAAATTTTTAAAATGAGGATGCCAGTGACCAATCTGCTACAGACAGATTCTGGCATGATGGAACTTGAGTGACTTGTGCTCAGGTCAAATGGAGATATCCATACACTAGACATGGAAAAGACCTGATTCTGCCCTAATTTGGGGTCGAGGGTGTGTTTGTGTTTTCTTGCAGGAAAAGAATAAAGCTCGGCGGTTGTCAGAACATTTGGTGAGATGCATGGAGCAGAGAAAAACTGGACCTGAGACCATGGGAGCCTGCCCAAGCCAGTGAGATCTCCTAAACCAGTGTTGCTGATCCTTGATGTCTTGGAATCTACAGCTGGAGAAAGAAAGGAAACAGTCAGTTGGAGATTTCCAGTTTCTCAACAGACTGCATCAATCTCCCAGACCTGTGAATTTTCATCCCGAAGCCAACAAAGAACTGGAAGATTAGCAGTTTGCCCTTGATACACCTTAAAGCAAAGAATTCATTTTGCCAGTGTTTTTCCCTTTGGGGGATAAAAGGACCCATTTAAAACAATTGGACACTGGTATTGTTGGCAAAAACCCCTTTGCAGTATTTGAACAGGACATAGCCACTTGAAATATCAGCCTTGGTGGTTCCTGTTCCTGGAATCATGCGTATGCCAGTGTATTTTTCTGGAGAAATGCAACTTGCCCTAATGCAGCAAAAAGGAGACTTTGGCATCACTGCCGGCGTGATTGTAGCTATTGCTGTTGCTGCTACAGCAGCAATTGTATCTGGGACTACCATCTCACAGTCTGTAACTACAGCCAGCACAGTGGATAAACCAGCAGGGGATGTAACAGAGGCTCTCAGACTTCCTTAAATAACAGTCCATGTAGGAATTTGACATACTTAAACCTGTTCACCTACTCTGGCACACATTTGTGTTACCCCAGCCAAAGTTTATACTCATCAATTGGCCAATCAAATTATTAGAATGAATGAGACCCAGGTTCCTCCATTTTCTGGAGAGATCATCCTTAGGGAATCCCAGATAGCAGGCCATTTAATCAAAGAATAGGCTGGGTTCCCATCTCTGGGCCTTGTAGCCATAAGACTTATTAACATATGCTTCATTTGGTTAAGATGCCTAGGCGCTAGACCAGCCCAGGCTCGAGTTGTACTCAAGGACCACAGAGAATCCCTCAGCTCTACGGTTGAGCCTACAGAAATATTCGGCAGCCACTGACAGGTGAGACTAAGGGGATGCCAGCCAACCTAAGATAGGAGGGTCATACAGTCTGGGAGATTTCTCCATTGGCAGGTAAGGTTGGCATTAACGTTCTAGTCACTTGAGATAGGTGCTATTTTATATATAAA